AACCTACTGGAATGAATAGTGGTTCAGCAAAGTGACAGGATACAAGCTCAACATACAAAAATCAGTTGGATTCCTCTGCATCAACAAAGAGGCCTCTGAAAAGGAAATAAGGAAAACAATACCATTGACAATAGCTGCCAACAAGTTAAAATATCTAGAAATAAATCTTACCAGAGACACAAAAGACCTATGCAAAGAAAACTATAAATACTACTACAAGAAACTACAAGGGATCTACATAAATGGAAGAACCTGCCTTGTTCATGGATGTTGTTGTTGTTGTTGTTATGTGCCGTCGAGTTGGACCCGACTCATAGCAACCCCTCCTTGGGTTTCCGAGGCAGTATCACTATGGAAGTAGGATTGCCCAACCTTCCTTGCGAGGAGTGGCTGATGGATTTGAACTGCCAGCCTTCTGGTTAGCAGTCAAGTGCCTTTGGCATTATGCTACCAGAGCTCCTTGTTCATGGATAGGAATACTGAATATTGGAAAAATGTCAATACTACCCAAAGCAATTTACACATTTAATGCAATCCTGATCCAGATACCAACAACATTTTTTAAGAATATGGAAAAACCAATTACTTACTTCATATGCAAAGGAAAGAGACCTCAGATAAGCAAAGTACTACTTAAGAAGAAGAACAAAGTGAAAGGTCTCACACTCCTGATCTCAAAACTTATACGCAGCCACAGTAGTCAAAACAGTATGGTACTGGTACAATGATAGACCAGATAGACCAATGGAACAAAATCAGAAACCCAGAAATAGACCCACCCATCTATGGACAGCTGACCTTTGACAAAGGACCAAAACCCATTAAATGGGGAAGAGATAGCCTCTTTAACAAATTATGCTGGGAAAATTGGATATCCACTTGCAGAAAAATGAGAAAAGATCCATACTTCACCCCATACACCAAAACAAACTCAAGTTGGATCAAAGACTTAAATGTAAAGCCCAAAACTATAAAGTTTATCAAAGATAAAATAGGAGCAAATCTAGGGGCCCTAATTTATGGCATAAATAGACTATCAAGCATAACCCAGAATGCACAGGAGGTGGAAGGGAAGCTAGATGACTGGGACTTTTTAAAAATTAAATTATTATGCTCATCAAAAGACTTCTCCAAAAGGTAAAAAGAACCTACAGATTGGGAAAAAGTATTTGCCTATGACATATCTGACAAAGGACTTATCTAAAAAATTTATACAAAAGTGCAACACCTCAACACCAAAAAGACAATCTATTTCAAAAATAGGCAAAGGACATTAACAGGCACTTCACTAAAGATGATATGCTGGTGGCCAACAAACACATGAGGAATTGCTCATGATCGTGAGCCATTAGAGAGATGCAAGTCAAAACAGCAATGAGATATCATACCCCAGCAATAATAGCAAAGTTCAACAGGACAGAAAATAACAAATGCTGGTCAGGTTGCGGAGAGATTTGAACTCTCATACACTGCTGGTGGGACTGCAAAATGGTACAACCATTGTGGAAAATGGTATGGCATTTCCTTAAAAAACTGAAAATAGAAACGCCATTTGAACCAGCAATTCCATTACTAGGGATATATCCTGAAGATGTGAGAGACAGGACACGAACAGACATATGCACCCCCATGTTCATTGCAGCACAATTCACTATAGCAAAGAGATGGAAACAACCTGAATGCCCATCAACAGATGAGTGGATAACCAAATTATGGTACATTCACACAATGGAATACTATACTACCTTAAAGAACAATGAAGAATACATGAATCATCTCACAATGTGGATGAACCTGGAGGACATTATGCTGAGTGAAATAAGTCAATTGCAGAAGGACAAGTACTTTATGAGCCCATTACTGTAAAAAGACAAAGAAGGGTTTGCTTAGGGAAGGGAACTCACTTTGTAGATTACTGGGGATGGGAAGGAAGGGGAGGGGAAAATGTGTGTTGGGGGCCACACATTGAACTGGATAAGGGGAGGGATGGCATGGAAAGCGTCTGTGACCAGCATGATAACATTGAGGAAAGGGAGAACACCGAATTGTGCACATAAGACATAGATGGCAGAGGCTAATACTAGTATATCCACAATACTGCATTACCACTAACACCAAACACCAGGTTATAGATAAAAACATAGACAATTGAGAAGATCAGATGGGGGTCAGTGAACATGAATATACTCTAGACCAATAATAGATTCAGCTGAGATAATCTTGCACAGATGTTAGTGATACAAAATAATCACAATCATTACAGAAGCAACAGAAGACAGACATGGAGCAATCCCTCTTAGCCAGACATCTTGGGAGAGAGAACCACAGGATCTGCCAACCCAGGACCATAGCACTGGGGGACACCAGGCTCAATTGGCACAACATAATACATAAAAATCTTGTTCCACAACCTACTTTGGTGAGTAGTGACTGTTGTTGTTGTTGTTGTTATGTGTTGTCTAGTCAAACCTCATAGCGACCCCTCCTTGGGTTTCCGAGGCAGTATCACTACAGAAGTCGGATTGCCCAACCTTCCTTCTGAGGAGTGGCTGGTGGGTTTGAACTGCCAGCCGTCTGGTTAGCAGGCAAGTGTCTTAGCCACTATGCTACCAGAGTAGTGACTAGAGTCTTAAAAGCTTTCAAGTGGCCATCTAAGATGCAGCTAATGGTCTCCTCTCATCAGACGCGAAGAAGAGTGAATAAAGCCAATGGCATTTGGAAACAATCAGCCCTAGGATATGATGGGCCTCAAGACCAGAAGAACTAGATGATGCCAGCCACTCAGGAAGGGATCAAAACTGGCGATCCTGGGTAGAGTGGGAGGAAAAACATGGAACAAAATTCAGAAATACAATAATGACTAGAATTACTAGTTAGATGGAGTCTGGTGGGACCCCCAAGACAATGGCCCTGAGATACACTTTGGGCCTGAGAT